AACCCGCACGACCATCACTTAACATGCTTTTGCTTATTATGTGCATACGCATACAAGCAAGTATGTGCATATCTACACAGTCAACTCTGCAGTGAAGTCTGCACCGACAGCTACATGCATGCGTACATACGCACACACACATACATACATACATACATACACACATACATGCAGAGAAACCACTTAGTTTATTGAAGGATCCCATTCCGAGGCTCCCACCTGCCAAGGACTCATCATGAGGGAAGACGATGGCATAGGTCTTCGCGTAGCTCTCGTGGGTGCGATCTCGTACCCAGCGGCTATCCGACACGCTCTCGGGGTGGAAGCGCGCGCAGTCGAAGCTGAAGAGATCAACCTCAGGGGATCCGGTTAGGATCCACTTCGTCAACTCGCGGCCCACGCCTGAAAGGAGAGGTCTTGTAAGTCTAATTAAGCTACATAGGGCCCAACTAGAGCAAAGGTTGGGCTGCAGGCGTGTTTTGTTTTTTATGGGATCCCAACTCCCCCACTCTAACCCAGGCAGAGCCTCCACCCAACATCATGCCCATGGAGTTGAATCCACAAGCGTGGTAAAAGCCGCGGACGCCAGGATGAGGGCCCATGAGAGGCTTGTGATCCGGCGTGAAAGACTCCGGCCCACAAACCGTCGACTTGATCCCAGTCTCCTCGATCACTGGGCATCGCTGCATATGCCCAGCCAGATTCTGCCCAAAAGTGTCGTAGTCGAGCTCGAAAAGCCCAAAAGAAAAGCCAGGATCCACATCTGGCCAGAATTCCGGATTCTGTTCATAGCCGCCGATGGCCATAGAGTCGCCTTGCGTCTTCAAGTAAACGCTAAGGTCGTGGTCACGCACATTGGGCAAACCGCTGTGCATGCCGGCAATGGGCTCGGTGAGGACCATGGCGTGCTTCATGGCCTTCAAAGGTATCTGCACACCTCGCAGGATCCCCAGCATTCTTCTCAACTTCCCTAATGGCAACACCAATCTAGTCATCCTACAACACTACATCTGCACCCGATAAGAATTTACGTTTTCTGTTTACAGGGAAAAATATATATATATATATATATTCGTAATCCCTAAACTTAATCCCTACAAAACCCTATAGCCCCTAAATTCTAAATTCTGCATAGTAGTAGGGGTCCCCCGGCCTACCATGGCTGCGATCTCGTTCGCCCATGCGCCGCAGGCGTTGACCACCGTGGGGGTCTCGATCCGCTTGCCGCAGGCCGTCAGAACCTTGGTTCAGGGTTCGGTTAGGGTTCAGGGTTTGGGGCTGATAGGGTTTAAGGTTTAGGGTTCAGGGTTTGGACTTCATTATTCCAGAGTCTACCATAAAGGCAATCTACAAAAAATCATGAGATGCTTCGTGAAAATGGAAGAATCCCGGGAACTGCTTTGATTCGCCTTGCAGGCGCTGACCCAGCTGTGAGGTAGTCCTCGACCTCTATACCGCTGACACCGACATTCTCGTAGACTCCACCGCCGAACTTTCGGGAGGCCTTCGCGTAAGCATTGCAAATGCTGGTCGGATCAATGGTACCATCACCTGGGGAGTAGACACCCCCATAGATGTCGTCAACCCGCAGGAGCGGATGTACATCCTTCACCTCCGAGGGCGATAAGATGTGGCTTTCAATGCCGAAATACTTGCCTTGGTTGCTTGGCGGTTTCTGGAATGCTTCGGCATTCTGGCTAGGCTTCGGCGCGCTGAGAACAGAACAGATACAGCAGAGAAGAGCATTCATCTTGTAGCTAGAATGGCAGCCTTGCGCCAGCATGCAAGCTACTACACCCTAAACCCTAAACCCTAAACTAAACCCTAATCGCTAAACCTACATCTCCGACAAAGCTGAACAGAAAGCAAGGCCTCGCCCAGGCCCTGACATCCTCTAACATCTGCATCCGGAGTCCCGGGATCCCGACATGCCCTAGAGACGACCCATTCAAAACTTGATTTCTTGCGTTCCCCAAACCCCCTAAACCCTAAACTCCAACACCCTAAACCCCTGAACCCCTAGATTGAGTTGGCTCGAACCGACGTCACGCCCAGTTTTCTACCGAAGAAGGCTCAAGCTCGAAACCCAACGAGGCGAACAGCAGGATCGGAACAAACCCTACAGCAATCGAATCATAACGAGCCGAAGTTCTCAAGCAATGAAGCCAATGAAGCCGTCAAACAAAAAAACAAACATTACTAACTAGTCCTATTCCTAAGCTCGAAATGCAAATTAAGACCCTTACAAAACCTACCAGCGCCTTGTTTAGAACATTTCTTTTGCAACTGCGGCTTACCGCAATTGCTACTCTGGTTTCAATTGTTGTTCTGGCTCGTTTCGTCAACTGTTGACATTCTGCTGTGACAACAAGCGGCCAGTCTCGGCGAAGCGCTTGTATTCGGCAAGCCGCTCGGCATTCGTCCCCACGAAGAGGCCACCTGCAGTCTGGAGCATTTGCACGATGAGGTCTTGGACAACGCTGTTCTCATTGTTCTTACTCAAACCCATTAACATCTGCCCTGTCCCTATCCTCACGTTCTTGTCATACAGGGAGACGGGCTGGGGGACCCAGAGTGCGCTCGCAGGGTCGAGCGTTCCAGAGCGGCCGAAAGCCGTGGCTAAACCCGGCATCCTGAGCACCAAGGCCCACACTCTAAAGCCTACCAAAGCCCTGAACCTGACTTCCGGCTGTAGGTTTCGGGTTTATTGCCTCTGAACGTTCGGAAACTGTTTTTTGGGCCGTCGACCACAGCTTAAATTGCAACCCAAACTCCCTGCATTTTGCTGGCTTCGACTACTTGGCTGAGAAATCTCGAGAAAGGGCAATTAAGCCCTTCTGCGGGTCGTAGGTTCTTGGCAAAACCGCACCCTATGAAAACCCTATAAAACCCTAAATCCCCCAAACCCTACACCCTGGACGCTAAACCCCACACCCTCAACACTGAACCCTACACCCTAAACCCTCA